CTCTCTAGAAGATGTGAACAATTAGGCATATTTCTCAACAGTAGAACAATCGTCCCTCCTCAATTTGAACCAACACAAGTGCTTAACAGTGTCTCACTGTTAGAATCTAAGCTTAAGATGATCCATAGTGCTGCATCTAACAATCTTCAGCTCTTGATCTGTGTGATGGAACGAAAACACAAAGGCTATGCAGATTTGAAACGCATTGCAGAGACGAGCATTGGCGTTGTAAGTCAATGCTGTCTCTATCCAAATCTTGCCAAGTCAAGCTCCCAATTTTTGGCTAACTTGGCTCTTAAGATTAACGCCAAGGTTGGTGGTTGCACTGTTGCTTTATACAATTCATTACCTTCCCAAGTACCTCGCCTGCTTCAAACCGACAAGCCTGTGATCTTCATGGGCGCCGATGTAACTCATCCCCATCCCTTGGATGATTTTAGCCCCTCCGTAGCTGCTGTAGTTGGTAGCATGAATTGGCCAGCAGCAAACAAGTATGCTTCAAGAATGAGATCACAAACACACAGACAAGAAATTATTGTCGATCTTGGCGCAATGGTCGAAGAGCTGCTCGAGGAATTTTATCAAGAACTGAACGAACTACCACTGCGGATCATATTTTTCAGAGATGGTGTGAGTGAAACACAGTTCTACAAAGTTCTACAAGAGGAATTGCAGGCTATTAAAACAGCCTGCTCTAGATTCCACAATTACAAGCCTCCTATAACTTTTGCTGTGGTTCAGAAGAGGCATCACACTAGATTGTTCCCATTCAAAATCGATCCTTCATCGAATCAAAGTGAGGTTCTTGATGAAAATATTCCTCCCGGGACGGTTGTCGATACTGTAATTACGCACCCAAAGGAGTTCGATTTCTATCTCTGCAGCCATTGGGGTGTTAAAGGAACAAGTAGGCCTACACATTACCATGTACTCTGTGATGAGAACCACTTCACTTCTGATGAACTACAAAAGCTAGTTTACAACTTATGCTACACTTATAACAGGTGCACCAAGCCTGTTTCACTAGTTCCTCCAGCATATTATGCTCATCTAGCTGCTTATCGAGGCAGACTTTACCTCGAACGATCAGATTATTCCATGGCTCATACTCGAGGCGTTAACACCGTCTCTCGAGCTGCCCCTCCAAAAACAATGCCTCTACCCAAACTTAGTGAAAATGTTAAGAAACTCATGTTTTATTGTTGATTTTTGTTGTAGTTTCAATCACTAGTTCTTCATTTTGTGGCATGCATAAAAACTTCATAAATTATTGTCCTATTATTATGAGGGGCTCCATCAGGTTTAGAGTAAAAAGAAAAGAAAAACAAACTTTTTAGAAGATATCATATTCATTAAAGCAATAAAGTGTTGTTACAGATGTGCAGAAGCCCCCCAAGGCTTTGGACGATCCAAATTGTCCAAACTGACCCCAGAAAGAGTCCAAAACCTCTTCCACTGACAGAGCAGCAGAAAGCTCCCAAAGCAAAAGACAGAAGGTAAAGAGAGAAGGGCAGTTTGGGGAAAAGAGAGGCATGAAAATATGAATAAAGAAGTTAAAATGTAGCCTGACACTACAGACTCATGCAAAGCAATGCAATCCCGAAGAACAAAAAGCAGCAGAGAAAGAAGTGAAGTGTTTCTGACTTTTGGAGTTGCCATTTTGTCTTGGAAGGAAAGTAATATAACAATTTTCTTTTTTTGTTCTTTAATTTAATTTAATTTTTATTTTATGTTATTGGGCTCTGTATGTATGGTTGCAGCTTTCCATCACCATTAAGGACCATTCGTCAGCTACACTTTCAAGTACCGCACGGCCTCTGAATCCGACGAGACACAAAGACTATAATTTATTGAACCCTTTAGAGCTCATCGTGGGACCCTCCCCCAATTCATACCTCCACCTTGCCCATCCCCTCAAATTTTGACATATTTCACCCGGCCAAGTTCACCGCTAATACATATTTTCTACTTTGAATTATGTATTTCAATCTCACCGTTCTAAAAGGTATTTGTTATGGAGAGAGTCTGCTGTTAGAAAGATGATACCTCTGCTACAATCAACTGGTGATCCTCCGAGTACTGTAATGTACACATGAGTGAAAGATAGAGACCTACCTTGAGAGTGAAGTAATTCCATGTAATTATTATTATACAATAGTAAGCAATTAAAAATAGAATATATTATGGTATTTATTTTTAAAAAATGAAATGAGTTTACACACAAACAATCAATTTATTATGGTATTTATTTATTTTAGCATAATTTAATATTTTAAATTATAGATACACTAAAAAAAAAAAAAAATTCATAAATATCGTTATAGGTTTAGAGAACATGGTGTTGAAATTTGTGCAGAAGAAGAGTAGGTTGTCTTCTTCAACCCGCTCGCTAAGAGGTCCTTCCCCCAACTAACGGTCAAAATTTCTCGGAGCTCAGGTGAGGTTAAAAAAGGGCAATCATGTCAACTCAAAACACGATATCGCAAAATCAAAATCAAAATCAAAATCAGAAACAGAAACGAAAATCGAGGCGAATTTAGGTTAATAGTAGGAGTGTATGTAATAATAATACGTAACAAGATTCGTTAGTGTCGGTTATGGAACCTTATTCTGAAGGAGGCTTCAAATGCATCAGGCAGCAGCATAGGCATCAGCGTCAGCATGAGCATCGCGCCAACGGGCTATCCATTTCCGACGTGACGTTTTCTTTTGTTGTGGCATAACATTGCGTCGGTTTTCAAGGAAGAGTCACGTTCTTCATTAAGACCTATCCAATCGACGCTTCGTCCTTTTCCTCTGCCTCTGCTCTGCTCTGATCTGCTCTTCTCTGCTCTGTGTTTGCCCCTTGATTTGATAGGACACACCTCTCCCTCTCTCATCTAACGCTCTCCCTCGCATTTCCTCCGAATCTCACACATTATCGCATCGCCATTCGCGCATCTCTTCCCACTTTCGTCTCATCTCCCTCTGTCAGATTTGGATCCACGCGCGCTCTTCTTCCGTTTCGTCTCTCTTCTTCTCGCAATGTACAGAGCCTACGAGCCATGTATTTCGTCGTTCGTCAGCTTCGTTTTTTCTTCTTTGGGACTCTGAATTGTGGGCTTTTAACCTGAAGCCCAAAACTAAATGTCATGGACCCATACTGGGCTTTCTTTCGTCGTTGATCTGCTTCGTTTTTTCTTATTTGGGCCTTGGGCTTTTGACCTGAAGCCCAAAAGTAAATGATGGATCGATAATAATTGGGGTCGATAATAACTGGGCTACTACTCTTTTGACTACTCATTGGGCTCAAGTTAACTGGACTACTATCTGGGCTCAATTAAGTGGGCTACTATTTAACTGGCTACTAATTGGGCCCAACTTAACTGGGCTTGTAATTGGGCTCAAGTTAACTGGGCTAGTATCTGGACTCAATTAATGGGCTAGGAATTGAGCTCAAATTAAATGGGCTACTATTTAACTGGCTACTAATTGAGCCCAACTTAACTGGGCTAGTACTTGGGCTCAAGTTAACTGGCATGGGCTACTATTTAACTGGCTACTAATTGGGCCCAGCGTAACTGGGCTAGTACTTGGGCTCAAGTTAACTGGCCTACTATCTGGGCTCAATTATCTGGGCTAAGATTTGGGCTCAAATTAAATGGGCTGAAGTTAACTGGGCTACGTTTTCGGCTCAAATTAAGTGGGCTACTATTTGGGCTCAAATTAAATGGGCTACTAGTTAACTGGCTACTAATTGGGCTCAACTTAACTGGGCTAGTACTTGGGCTCAACTTAACTGGGCTAGTATCTGGGCTTACTTAACTGGGCTAGGAATTGGGCTCAAAGTAAATGGGCTACTATTTAACTGGCTACTAATTGGGCCCAACTTAACTGGGCTTGTACTTGGGCTCAAGTTAACTGGGCTAGTATCTGGACTCAATTAACTGGGCTAGGAATTGGGCTCAAATTAAATGGGCTACTATTTAACTGGCTACTAATTGGGCCCAGCGTAACTGGGCTAGTACTTGGGCTCAAGTTAACTGCCTACTATCTGGGCTCAATTATCTGGGCTAAGATTTGGGCTCAAATTAAATGGGCTGAAGTTAACTGGGCTACGTTTTCGGCTCAAATTAAGTGGGCTACTATTTGGGCTCAAATTAAATGGGCTACTAGTTAACTGGCTACTAATTGGGCTCAACTTAACTGGGCTAGTACTTGGGCTCAACTTAACTGGGCTAGTATCTGGGCTTACTTAACTGGGCTAGGAATTGGGCTCAAAGTAAATGGGCTACTATTTAACTGGCTACTAATTGGGCCCAACTTAACTGGGCTTGTACTTGGGCTCAAGTTAACTGGGCTAGTATCTGGACTCAATTAACTGGGCTAGGAATTGGGCTCAAATTAAATGGGCTACTATTTAACTGGCTACTAATTGGGCCCAGCGTAACTGGGCTAGTACTTGGGCTCAAGTTAACTGCCTACTATCTGGGCTCAATTATCTGGGCTAAGATTTGGGCTCAAATTAAATGGGCTGAAGTTAACTGGGCTACGTTTTCGGCTCAAATTAAGTGGGCTACTATTTGGGCTGAAGTTCAATGGGCTACTATCTGGACTGAAGTTAACTGGGCTACTATTTGGGCTCAAATTAAGTAGGTTACTATTGGGGCTCAAGTTAAGTTGCTATTAATAGGGCTCAAGTTAACTGACTATTAATGGTTTTTCTTATTTGGGCCTTTGAATTGTGGGCTTTTTACCAGAAGCCCAAACGTAAATAGCTGGCGGCAGATCATGAAACAACCCTTTTAACTGGGCCTGGCCCATGTTCGATGTGGATTAGAAGCCCAGTTAATCCTATTGGGTAAGGGAATGGACCCACACAATCGGTATTGTTTAGGAGGATGTCCAAAAATAAGCAAATAAATAGTGTTGCTGGAGAAGTCTATTAGAATTTGATATAAAAAGGTTACACAAGATAAATAATTAAATTTAAAAAATAGGTATAGAGATATTTAGTATTGATAAGGTTTCTAAATTATTGCCACTGAATCATAACTCACATCACATCGTTGAGAAATGGCAAAGCAAAAATGGGAAAGAAGAAGAAGAGGAAAGCTGGATGCCGGACCTCATAAGTTGCTGTAATGGATGCCTGCCGGCTGCCGCTCATGTTTCAAGCACTAACAATTGCAGAAAAATGGCCAAAATCCCACATCGCCTTCCCCAACTTCATGCATTTTTTCAAATCATTTCCAGCCACGTTTGAACAACAACAAAGAATTTGGTCGCCATTGTTTCTGGTATCCATGTTTTTGGTATCATCTACAAACAGATATCCCATGTTCAATCCATCAATCAGTCTATGAAACTATCATCCAATTCGAATGAAAGAATACCAATTGATCCATCCGAAACAGAATCGTCTGATATCACCATACTTGAAGATCTGCAGCTGAAGTAAAAAACCGCATTCATCACAGAATCAGTAAGCACAACAAATGAATACATAACCACCAAAAGAGGGCCTTCCCAAATCCTCGAAGACCCATCTCCATAGCTCAGTATCTTAACCCTATGCTCAAACAATCCCTCCACAAACACTGTCCCAATTGTGGATCCCAGAAATATCAAAAGCCCCACTTGAGTTTGACCCCTAATAAGAACACACGACCTAAGCAATGCCCCTGGCCCTGCAACATCTTCCAATACACAGATAACAATCCCAATGTTGCAGATGATGACAGCATTAGCAAATATAACAGAGAACACAAGCCCCCCAATCACAGCAACAGATATAATAAGATCAGGCGAAAATCCCAATGCATAAAAAGTACTGCAAACAGCACCAAGCAGAACCAAGAACGTTGTAAGACACCCAACAATCGCAAGACACACAGAAACATATGTCGTGACAAGACGATTCCATATATTACGAACTAAAGCGAGGAACAGGCCTGCTTCGAACCTTCTTTTGGCGTGTGTACAATCCACCGTATGAACAACAGCAGCTTTTGATAACAAAGAAAAGGTAACGAACAAAGGAAAGCACACTGCAGAGGAAAGAATCGACTCGGCAAATCTCTGGCATGAATGTTCGATCATGGGCATCAATGGGAGCCCACTGGACCTGGCTATTAATACCAATCGGATAGTCAGCATCTTGACAGTCGACTCATCGATTAACACATTGGATAAAAAGACGGCGGAAACAGGGCAAATAAGCAAAATGGCAATAACCACAAACGCAGTAGAATTGTAGCGGAGAATCCGAACCGTTTCCCTCAAGATCTCCAACGCGCTCATCGTATGGAATTGATTGTCGGGTTCGATCCCGGATTCAGAGGGTTTTGTTGACGCCACGGTCAGCAAACGCAAATCGTGGCATTCCTCGTCCGTCGGAGGAGTATCCCGATGGATTCCGGGAAAATCGACGGAAGAAGAGAATTCCATTTCCAGTTTCCAGACCCTAAATCCGGTGGCGCCAAAACAACAGAACCACCAGAAAGGGAAAGAACCCCATCGGAAAAAGCAGCGGCAATGGGCGGCGAATGGAAATTCAGAAGGATCAGATCTGGGGAGGTGAGGAAAAGAGGAATTCAGAGAGAAAGAGAAGATTTCGGAGGGAAGAAGAAGAAGAAGAAGAAGAAGAAGAAATGGAGGGGAAGGGCGTGGTGTGGCTATGGAGAGGGAAAATGGCTATTTCGGAGGGGATTTTGGGATCCAGACGTCAAATTCCGCGACCTTTCTTTAATCTGTCATCTGTGTTGCCTCTCTTTCGGGGACAGTCCTCCTCACAAGACATGCCTCCGCCTCAAACAACATTTATTCAAATCATTATTTCTTTTTTATTTTTTAAAATTGAATTATTAAACTTTTAAATATCAGAATCAATGCTTGCTTCTTGCTTGCAATTTGATTTTTCCTCTCCCATCTTCCTCTACACTAAAAGTTTATATATATATATATATATATATATATAAAGATGACAAGATGAGATGCGATATTGCATTGAGAGATCTTGACCCGAGTAGAGGCAATGTCGAGCCAAGTGACTTGGCCTAATGTAGAGGCAAGTCAGTTGTGTCGTTGCATGTGTGGTCAAATAAACTTAGATTCTGCACAAACAATGTTTGGTTGATGAAGACAGACCTTGGCTAAGGTCCGATGAAGCCACAAAACCAGGGCGAAAAATATATACGAGGCTTGATTCTCCTTAAGGCTGGTTGAGAATGTCAAGATCACGACGCCGCACGGTTAAAATAGTTGGACCACCCTAAAACTTCCCGACAAATGTAAACATACAAATACGATGTTTAGTATACCATTCCTTGAAGACAGTTTTGTCTACAAAATGAAGTGTTGAAGGTGTTCATAGTTCATCAAATACGTCACCAATGATAAACAAGAATCCAATCGTTGGAACTAACACAACTTCAACAAAAGCAATCCAGAAAATTGGTTTATATCAAACAAAGCAAATCCGGGAATTGCAAGAAACAAACTAACAAATTCGAGTGTCAAGATCGGCATCGGCTAGCTCGAGTTTTACGTTTTGCTACGTCTTCTGCGATGCCTTGATTCTGTGACTACATTTTCACTTTACAGAATAGGTTGTTTGATTGGTGCTCGAATTCCTTGGCTGGAGAATCAAAGAATTATCGACTTTGCACCACATCGATATCGACACGAACATGTTCGGTAAGCTCATAATCAGGCATGTCTCATGTTGATCTGGTTAGAACATGATGCTTGCAGTTGGGCAATCCTCTCTTCCTGTTCCGAACCATACAAGAGGTTGTTCCAGCTTGTTGGTCTTTGAACAATCCTTGAAGGAACTCGGTCGCTGTCCTCTCCGCCCGAAGCTTCATATCCATCACTAGTCGACCTCGACAATGGAAGTCCCTTTTGAGCAGCAGCTACATTAGCTGCTAATACGCCAGTGACTCTCTTAGACTCTTCAGCTCCTGAGGAGGATATTCTGAACGGATGGATGTCAGGCGACCCCAAACTGCTCTCCGGTGACGATGCAGCCATGGTTGAGCTCGACATTGCTCGGCTTGTTTGGAAAGCACTGCGTGCTTCAAGCTGAAGAGGACCAAGGCTAGTTGATGTGCCAGAGAAACCTTTTTCAACAGCTTTTCCTGGAACATTTGTTAAGTGTTGCATAGGTAGATCAGATGGAAGTCGCACACGTTTATTCCCTCGCCTTCTATTATTTTCGAGTCGTGAAACGATTCGGCGACCACTACTGCCAAAACCGCTATCCGGTTCACGTTCAAAAGGTGTCGCTGATCTAACCACAGGCTGTAGAATTTTGGACTTCTTCCTTGCCTCTGCTGCAGCCTTTGAAACCTCATCACCATTTAGTCTTGCCAGAGTCCATGGACTGATCCTCACAGCAGCAGGGTTCTTTTTCTTGGTTGCTTCTTCGCTGACCGTCCTCTTTCCGAGCGAACTAACAGACCCCGTCTCTGGTGGAATCACATCAAACTGAAACACGAAAACAAAACGCATATTGTCTTTCATAATTAGACACATTCGTTCTCCAAAAACGCGTCTGCTAAGGAGAGGTTTCCACACCCTTATAAAACATGTTTCGGGAAAAGAATTTTCTAGTTAAATTACCTGATCCTCGAGAAACAAGCGCGGGGGAGTACACCATGCACCTCGGTGGAAAGTCGAGAACGAGCTTGCGCTACTTAGTCCAGTTAATGAGCTGACAACAGACATTTGAGGACTTTGTTGGCCACCACCTCCCTGTTGCTCTTGCTCTTGCTCCCTTAGAGCTATGATATAATCATATGTTGTAATTCCCTGTTTCAAAAGTAAGCAATTAATCCCAAATAATGACATCCGTTACGTATTGCCATCAGTTTCATGGTTTTAAACGCGTCTATTAGGAAGAGGTTTCCACACGCTTATAAGGAATGTTTCGATCCCCTCTCCAACCAATATGAATCTCACGATCCACCCCCTAGGGGGCCAATGTCCTCACTAACACACCGCTCAGTGTTTGGCTTTGATACCATTTGTGACAGCCCAAGCTCACCGCTAGCAGATATTGTCCTTTTTGGGCTTTCCTTTTAAAACGCGTATGCTAGGGAGAGGTTTCCACACGCTTATAAAGAATGCTTCGTTCCGCTCTCCGATGTGAGATCTCACAAAAAAAAACGAAACATGTGGTATACTTGCCTTCTTTATGAGAAGGATGTGGAAAAAGAAGAGTTGAGCCAGTGGCAATGTTGCTATCATAGCCAAGATGGTACAAACCGCCTGAAAACGAAGGGATCAGTTTAGATTGTTGCTCAAGTTTAGCCAAATAGAGAAGCCAGGGAATGGTCAGAGCCACTTACCACTACAATAATGAAAGGTGCCAAAGAAAAACTGCTACCCAACTTGGAGGAGATTTCCACAGAGAACCGTTTCTTCTCGACAAAACAGCAGATGAGCACAAGGATTCCACTCGACCATTGTACAATAAGCTGCAATCTCAAGCCCAAGGTGCACAAACCATGTATAAACCTGTCAATAACTAATTGAAAAGAAACTGAGATGAAATTAAATCCTTACTCTGGTTGGATGTTCTTGAGGTGCTGTCATGTTGCTACCAGGGATTACAGCATATGATTGGTGGTAACAAGAAATTGTTATATCTATCTATGGCTGAGAGGCATAGCTCTTCCAAAGCTCATCATATCATCCAAGGGCCGAGGTTTTTGTGAGATCCCATGTTGGATGGAGAAGGGAACGAGACATTCCTTAAAAGGGTATGGAAACCTCTTCCTAGTAGATGCGTTTTAAAATCGTGAGGCTGACGGCGATACAATGGGTGTTACAAATGGTTTCAGAGCTAGACACTGGGCGGTGTGCCAGTGAGAAGGCTAGACCACTAAAGGGGTGGGGATTGTGAGATCCCACGTCAATTGGAGAGGGGAACGAAATATTTCTTATAAGGGTGCGGAAACCTCTTCCTAGTATATGCGTTTTAAAACCATGAGGCTGACAACGATATGTAACGGACCAAAGTAGCGGTGGACTTAGGCTGGTACAAATGGTATGAGAGCCAGACACCCCAGCAAGGACGTTCCTTATAAGAACTCACAACATTCCTTATAAGGGTGTGGAAAACTCTCCCTAGTAGACGTGTTTTAAAAGTCGTGAGACTAACGACGATACGTAATGGGTCAAAGCGGACAGTTACAAAGGTAAAAACATAGAGAGGAGGATTGAACTTACCAAGAGGAGAGAGGTAACCATGAGGGTGAAAAATTGTCGATAGTTCCTTCGGCCAATACAGTTGTTAAGCCACTACAGAACCACAAGTAAACAAATTGTAAGAACAATCTGTGGCACTTGATTGAGTAAGGAAAGGAGGTAAAAATTCAGACATTTTGTTACCCTGCAGTGGTGATCAAACCGATCAACGCACTTATCACAAACTCTGCAGTGCTTGCTATACTTGAAAACCTGCACAACAACATAGCTTAGATCACTTAAACAATCCACTTGAAAATACAGCTCTTTCAACAGTTAAATCACCTCAACTTCACACAAACTGCAGTAAAACATGCCATCTTCACTCATGTTTTGGTCGGACGATTCCTCGTTCGAACCCGAACAATTGCATACATATGCACAAGGGAAGCACACCAACGAAAGACATGACAGCTTCTTTGATGCCGGGCTGTCCTTTGAATTTGCATCTTTATCCACAGAAGCAGCAGCATTGGGATCATGCGTGGATTCGCCACCGAGTTTAGAACTTTTTTGCTGAGAACACTTCCCTTCATCAGGAACATCGACATACTTCTTGGATTTGAACACTCCAGTGTCTGCCGGGTCAGCTACCGCACACCAGATATATAGACCAAACACACATGTAATCTAGATAACAAAGAACAGAACATGGATTGAAACATCAAATATCATACAGAAATGACTAAATGAGGGATAGATCTGAGTGGTGATGGCTTACAAGAGGAGTATATAGTCCAATCATAACATACTGAAAAATCTTGTTCCCGACAAAAGGAGCAAAGAAGACATAAAAAGCAAACCCCAGAGCTAGAAACACAGAAACTGCAACAACCTTAAACAAGAATCACAGAATGAATTAGTTGCATAATAGAACGCAAAAAGAAAAGGGTGAAGGGAAAATAGAAACCTGGAGAGGATGGTAAGGAAGTTGCCATCCATGCTTCCTCATTGGAGACACCCAGAAGAAGAACACGAAGAACACGAAGAACAGGATGGGCTTCAGATTACGAACCCCTTTCCCACAGAAACTACAAAGATTTGCTAGTGAAGTTTAGTCATATTTGGGATTCGAACCCGTGAAGAAGGAGAGAAGAGAAGGGTGGGTTTTGGTTTTGAAGCCTATAATTGCATCGAAACCTCCCTTTTACTTTAAAATCTCTTGGTTTCTGGCGTTACCCTTTTTCCCTGGGCAAATCATGTGTCACTGAAGACAAAGAGAAGCCACTGCTATTTACAATGAAACGGCAGCTCAATAACCCAATTTCCCTTTAAACATCTCTTCAAATCAGATCAACAAAGCAAACAATTACTCCTTTCACTATTTTGAAGCCACTTCGACAAAACATTAAATGTTCTTCATCTTTTCCTTTTAGAATCTGTCCTCTTGTATTGAATTGGTTAGTTGGTACCTACAAATCGATTCCATCAACAATTCCATTCTGTTCCTTCTTTCTTTTAAGCCTTTGCCTCTTCATTACACCATTTTTTTTAGCAAAATCGTATCTGGGTGATGAAAATCTAAGTCAAGAACTTGATGAACAACTGAGATTAACCAACAAAATTTGAACTTTAATGAATTCCAAACCGAGAGAATGACATTACAATAAAGGAAACGTGAGATGTGGGTCAATGACTGTGGATTGTAGTGTTGTTTAGTGAATAATTTTAGCCCTTTTTTTCCTTTAAGAAAAGCAAAGTTTTGGAAATGAAATTTGGCATTTTGTTGTCAGTCATTGGGCTCCATGTTAATCAGATCTCATCGCATCCACCGTTCAATTTTTCAAACATTCATTTCAACGGCCATGATTATGGAATGCACGTAGTCATCATAGAGCCTGTCCGCAGACAACCAATACTCGTGAACGTAAATTTGAAAATAATGCCTTTTGATAATTAAAAAATAGAAAAAAAGAAAAAACAAGAATGTAAAACGCAGCGTTTTGACAGAGTAGATCAATGCATTAAATTCTTCTTGGAGGACTCACTGTCGTTCCTCGATAGGGTTTTCCGTATATATGCACTTTTCTAGCACGCTTTCCCAGCCGAATCAATTTGTGAAAATAGCGTTGACCCAAGAAGCCCTCTCAGCCGTCGATCTTCTTGATCGTGCTTCATCATCCCATCGGACCGTTGTGGTTCGTCTTCAACGTGTTTCAAAAGTTGTGTGCTGCCGTACTGGATTACATTCACGCATATAGCAGAGCAGAATATGCTTTTTAATTTTTAATTTTTAATTCTTTTGTTTAAATTTAAGTAAGAAAGCCATTGATATAAATAATAATAATAATAATTTTAAAAAAATCTAATTGTAATTATAGATTTCAATGATTAATAAAACAATAAATCGACCAGATTGAGATATAAAATATGTTAGAATTATAATTTCGACTAAAAAAAATTAATAACGCATTTTTAATTCACACTTTTCGTATTTTATTTTAAAAAAAATAAGCAGTAACATTTTATTTTGTAACGACCCAAATCCACAACTAGCAAATATTGTCCTCTTTGGGTAGCAAATATTGTCCTCTTTGGGTGGTAAAGATTTCCTGAATGTCCCCGTACTCTTGTAAAGGGTGATTTGTTCTCATTCTCAACCAATGTGGGACATCACATATATTAGTCAAATTGACGTAAGAATATGAATTTAAATTAATTTTTAAAGTACGAAAATATTTATATTAATATCTATTTTTCAAATCTAATATAGAATACAATAAGAAGATGGATGTGTAACATATAAAAACAAAAAGTAATAACACTTTTTTGAAAAAAAATATTCCTGATTTATAACTTAATATAAGTTGGATTAGTTGAAGTGATGGGGATGGTAATAAATTGTTTTTAAGGGGCTAAACTGAAATTAAGGATAAAATAAAGGATTAAAATATAAAATGTAATAATTGGAATATAATTAAATAGAAATAAAATGTGGGGAGAGGGTGTCTAAAAGAATGTGCAGTTAGGAGGGGAAATTAGGAGTGGCGTTTAGTGTTTGGAAGAGATTCGGGAACAAAATTAAGAGGGAAATTGAAGAAAGAATAATTGGAGGGAAAGGAAAAGTCAAAGAGGATCAGATGGGTAATAATTAAATAATTGCTTGCTTGAATGGGGAGCAAACTAAATAAATATTATAATATCCACTTTTTTCTTCTCATTTCAATCCAAATTTTGCAGAAAGTTTTGGATTTTCAAGCCTAAAAGGCTTAACAGTACCCTTCTGTTTCAAGGACTTCTTTGGTGGATTTTTCCCAATTAGTTTTTTATTTTTTATTTTTCAAAAAATAATATACATATTATATATATATATATTTTAGTTTATATTTATAACTTATTCCAGCTTACTGTTAGCTATATTGTGAGATCTCACATTAGTTTGAGAGGAAATGAAACATTCATTATAAGATTGGGTAAACTTCTCCATGCTAGATGTGTTTTGAAACCGTGGAACTGACAGTGATAGAGACAAAGCAGACAATATCCACCGTAATGCCATAGTAATTTTCAAAATATACACTAAAATTGGATGGTAAATCTTACTAGGCTTTAAAATACTGCCATAGTAATTTTCAAAATATACACTAAAATTGGATGGTAAATCTTACTCGGCTTTAAACCGCGTCTGCTACTATGTTAGGTGAAAGTTTCTACACCCTTAAGACTGATGGTTTGTTCTCCTCTCCAACCAATGTCGGACATCACAATCCATCCCCTTCAGGGCCCAGTGTCCTAAAATTGGATGGTAAATCTTACTCGGCTTTAAAGCGTGTCTGCTAGTATGCTAGGTGAAAGTTTTCACACCCTTATGAATGATGGTTCCTCTCTAACCAATGTGGGACATCACAATCCACCTCCCCTTCAGGGCCCAGTGTCCTCGCTGGCACTCTTTCCTTCCTCCGATCGATGTGGGACCGCCCCCAAATCCACTCCTTTTTAGGGCCAATGTTCTTACTCGCACACTGCCTTATGTCTACTCCCCTTCGGGGAACAACGAGAAGGCTGACATATCGTCCGATGTCTGGCTCTAATACCATTTGTAACGACCTAGATCCATCGCTAGCAGATATTATTCTCTTTGGGCTTCCCCTCAAAGCTTTCTAACGCGTCTACTAAGGGAATGTTTCCACACTCTTATGAATGGTGGTTTGTTCTCCTCCCCAACCAATGTGAGACATCACACAACCTAAAAAATCCAAACCAACCCAACTCAAACATTTTATAATCGGGTTAGGTTAGAATCATTATTTAACAAGTGTTTATTGAATTGAAAAAATTTATAGTCTAAACAATCGAGCTAGGTCTAAAAAAATGTTTACCCAAACCTAACCCTTGAACATTACGAGTGGTAAAGACTTGACACGTTCATAATACAAATGCGACCATAGTTAAGATGATAGTGGGGACAGAGCAAATTAAAGGGTGAGGGGACACATTTTGAGTGTTATAAATGATGGAAACTATAAAGAGAAAAGGGTGGGTGTATTTCATTATGTAACTTGTGGACAAGCATGTGAAGCTTTTATTACATCCATGGGGCCTCCCACCACTTCTCCTTTCTTCTTTTTACTGAGTCCCATATCAACTCTTACCATCAGTAGCTCATCAGTAAAAAAAAAAAACAACTGATCTGTAAAGTGGAATATTTACTTGCATTTGTTTTTACCTTTGTTACCATCCACAGCTGAGGAGTTACTGGAGGGCCTGTCTGCTTTTGGCAACATTAACAACAGATCCCTTCCTACAAATCAAAATGTTAACTGTCAGTTAGATTCTCGTAAGTAAGTCGTATAAGTCAACCGAATATACGATCGTTCAACAACTTTCATAGTTGACGTGTGCGTCTCCGGACCACATCTGAGAATCATACAACAAAGTTGAGCTGGTTCATGTCAATCAAGCCATTTCGTCTCAGCCGATGTGGATAACAAGTAGATTCTTTCTAGAGTTGCATTGACAGACGATCCCTCTAACCAAATTTGAGTCCTGTAGCAGCCCAAGCCCACCGCTAGCATATATTGTCTTCTTTGGGTTTTCCCTCAAAATTTTAAAACGCGTCTGCTTATAAAGAATGTTTCGTTCTCCTCCCCAACTAATGTGAGATCTCACAAGTACAGACATAAAGCAGACGGTAGCTCGACCCAGGAGGGAACATATCACAATCAAAAGTAAATAACATAGAATCATTTATGTGTATTCTCATTTACAAAAGAATGCAACAGTAAAATTTGATACAATATGTTTCATTTCCTTTTAACTCTATATTAACAAAATGGTATATCTTGATTTAAAGTATGGCTTAGGAAGTGGGAAATATAGAACAAACAGACTGTTATTTGTTCTTTCTTTAACACTAGGAGTCTTTCTCAGTACCTATATTTTGTGATTTTAGGCGAGGAACGTTACTGTTGGCTGTACCGTGGCTGCTGATTTTACCAGCTGGAACGTCGTGATTGTGTTTGCCCTCGTACGTCGTTATCACAGCTTTCTGGTCTGTTGAAGCTCTCTCGACGTGTTTACGAACATTGCATCCGTGAGTCGTGCATTTGTAATAGCTCCTGCAATGGAATGAAGATCACTTGATAGAATGAGAAAAACAATCAACAGCATCTCAAGCAGACATAGTTATAAACCACCGGTAATAGCCCAAGCCCACCGCTAACAGATACTGTTCTCTTCGAGTTTTCCCTTCCGAGCTTCCCCTCTAGGTTTTTAAAACGCGTCTGCTAGAGAGAGATTTCCACACTCTTATAAAGAATGTTTCGTTCTCCTCTCCAACCGATGTAGGATCTCACAATCCACCCCCTTCAGGACCCAGCGTCCAGTGTTTGCCTCTGATACCATTTGTAACAGCTCAAGCTCACCGGCAGGAGATATTGTCCTTTTTGGGTTTTTCCTTTCGGGTTTCCCCTAAAAGTTTTTAAAACGCGTCTGCTAGGGAGAGGTTTCCACACCCTTATAAAGAACGTTTCGTTCTCCTCCCCAACCGATGTGGGATCTCACAATCCACTCCCCTTCAGGACCCAACGTCCCGTGTTTGCTGCCTCTGATACCATTTGTAACAACTCAAGCTCACTGACAGGAGATATTGTCCTTTTTGGGTTTTTCCTTTCGGGTTTCCCCGAAAAGTTTTTAAAACGCGTCTGCTAGGGAGAGGTTTCCACACCCTTATAAAGAACGTTTCATTCTCCTAAAGTTTTTAAAACGCGTCTGCTAGGGAGAGGTTTCCACACCCTTATAAAGAACGTTTCATTCTCCTCCCCAACCGATGTGGGATCTCACAATCCACTCCCCTTCAGAACCCAACGTCCTGTGTTTGCTGCCTCTGATACCATTTGTAACAGCTCAAGCTCACCTCCCCTTCAGAACCCAACGTCCTGTGTTTGCTGCCTCTGATACCATTTGTAACAGCTCAAGCTCACTGACAGGAGATATTGTCCTTTTTGGGTTTTTCCTTTCGGGTTTCCCCGAAAAGTTTTTAAAACGCGTCTGCTAGGGAGAGGTTTCCACACCCTTATAAAGAACGTTTCATTCTCCTAAAGTTTTTAAAACGCGTCTGCTAGGGAGAGGTTTCCACACCCTTATAAAGAACGTTTCATTCTCCTCCCCAACCGATGTGGGATCTCACAATCCACTCCCCTTCAGAACCCAACGTCCTGTGTTTGCTGCCTCTGATACCATTTGTAACAGCTCAAGCTCACTGACAGGAGATATTGTCCTTTTTGGGTTTTTCCTTTCGGGTTTCCCCGAAAAGTTTTTAAAACGCGTCTGCTAGGGAGAGGTTTCCACACCCTTATAAAGAACGTTTCATTCTCCTCCCCAACCGATGTGGGATCTCACAATCCACTCCCCTTCAGAACCCAACGTCCTGTGTTTGCTGCCTCTGATACCATTTGTAACAGCTCAAGCTCACTGACAGGAGATATTGTCCTTTTTGGGTTTTTCCTTTCGGGTTTCCCCGAAAAGTTTTTAAAACGCGTCTGCTAGGGAGAGGTTTCCACACCCTTATAAAGAACGTTTCATTCTCCTCCCCAACCGATGTGGGATCTCACAATCCACTCCCCTTCAGAACCCAACGTCCTGTGTTTGCTGCCTCTGATACCATTTGTAACAGCTCAAGCTCACCGTTAGGAGATATTGCCCTTTTTGGGTTTTTCCTTTCGGGCTTCCCCAAAGTTTTTAAAACACATCTGCTAGGGAGAGGTTTCCACACCTTAATAAAGAATGTTTCGTTACCCTCCCCAACCAATGTGGGATCTCACAATCCACCCCCTTCGAGACCCAGCGTTCTCGCTAGCACTCATTCCTCTCTCCAATTGATGTGAGATCTCACAATCCACCCCCCTTCGAGACTCACCGTCCTCGCTGGCACATCGCTCAGTGTCTGGCTCTGATACCATTTGTAACAGTCCAAGCCCACCGCTAGCAGATATTGTCCTCTTTGGGCTTTCCCTTTTGGGCTTCCCTCAAAGTTTTTAAAACGCGTATGTTAGGGAGAGGTTTCCACACCCTTATAAAGAATGTTTCGTTCTCCTCCCCAACCGACGTGGAATCTCACAAATTACAACCACGAAAGATGTTAGTTTTTATGGTTTCAAATTTTAAGATCACTCTGTTTGTTGATACAATAGCAACCTGTATTTCTATAACTTGAACTACTGAAGCTGAATGAGATATAAAGCAAACTCACCTGGGGTAAGGGTTGCCTTTAACCGTTTTCTGCCCATACTTTCGCCACCGGTAGCCATCGTCCAACAAATCGACTTCACTTGTAGTCTGCACAATGATTCGGGATTCCGTGAGCGTCCTATGAGAAGACACTGGCTCGATCCGAGCCTCGGTGTTCCTGCATAATTAAGAAGATTGTGCATTGATCAATCAAGAAACAAAAGGCAGCTATTACCTAACAAGTTCAAAAGCTATATTCTTATACATAAAAGTTCCATACCGTCTCTTGGCATCCGGTTCGTCTTCATCGTTTCTATTCGGTCCAGTTTCTACCTCACCCCCTCCCTCACTGTCACTAGCATCCAACGACTGTCCATGTGTAACGAGGTTCGATTCTCGATCCTTCTTCACAACGGAAGACACAGCTGACTGCTCATTCAACTTATTCAAATATCCACTCTTTACTTGAGAATATAGGTCAGTGTTTCCATGAACACTTGAATATCCATTAGAATTTCCAACATCCTTTGCACGCTTGTTCGGTTGAGGTCGTTCGTGGTTGTGTTCACCCTTATAAATAATTTCAGTAACGTGGCCTTCCAGAGATCGTTCGACCTTTTTCTTGACAGGACAATTCAGGTACGTGCACTTGTAGTAGCTTCGAGGAAATTCACTGCCCTTCACTTGTTTCTGCCCATATTTCCTCCAATTGTACCCATCATCAGCAGGCCTATCGACATTACACGAAGAAGATACCGATCTCTGATCGGATTGAGAGATATCGGACGACTCCTTCGACACGACAGCAGAGTTCAGCAATTGAAGTGGCACTGGCTGATCTTTAGCCTTCTCGCTCGGAAATACGGTCAAAAGCTTTGAGGAGGCTGCAGAGCCTGCTACTGAGTGTGCTTGTATTTGCTTATGAGAATAGGCTTCTACAGCCTGCATGGTAACCTGAGCCAAAGCCTGCTGATGGGTCAATCCAAAAGTTCCCTACAACAAAGCCATACAGTAATAAAGAACAACATTGTCATATGCAACTTTATATGAAAAAGTCATTCAGTACCAGGAATCATTGTCATCAAATCAGTCAAATCAGTACTATAGTATATAAACATGAATTAAATTGGTCGGGATGGTGTTCAAGGCTCATCGACTTTCGTTTAATTGGTTGTTTCCAACCTGTCGTTAGAATGTCCCTCCTCTAAGTTAGACTGAGGTGATTTCGTCACTAGATGAAAGATTGTGGGAATATGAAATTTCTATTCCTTGGCTGTGAGATCCCACGTCGCTTGGAGATGAGAATGAAATATTCCTTATAAGGATGAGGTTTCTCTCCTTACATACGTGTTTTAAAATCGTGAAGCTGACGGCGATAAGTAACGAGCCAACAGTGGACTTGAGCTGTTACAAATGATATCCGAGCTAGACACTGAGCGGTGTGTCAGCTAAGACGTTGGAACCCAAGTGGGTAGATTGTGAGATCCCACATCAGTTGATGAGGGGAATGAAACATTCATTATAAGGGTGAGTTTCTCTCCCTAACAGACGCGTTTTAAAACTGTGAGGTTAACGATGATCCGTAATTAGCTAAAATGGACAATATCGACCTTACATGCTAGACTAGACTACAATGGAGTAAGTCACACAAGTGATGTTTCACTGACCATATAGATTAATGAATCAAGGACAAAGAGATCTTTTGGGAGTCAGGGATCAAACCATCGATCTTTGACATAGAAATTAGAGTATTATCGACTGAGCTAAGCTCGAATTGGCTCTAGAGCGACATTGTTGATAGGGACTACAACTATTTTGGTTCTTCCACTATGAACCAGCTCGAAAAAGAAAACATAAGCCATGGAAACCGACAGCATTTGAGACAGAACATGCTGAAGATGCAGAATCAGTTGTCCCCAAAAGCCATAGAAAAACAATAAAGAAAACACAATCCTTATTTTTCTCATAACTGTCAGATAATCAGTTGGCGGAGTGAATCTTAAGCAATTACCTGATCAGGCGAGAAAAGCCCCGGAGAATCGGGCAGACCAGCAGAGTCCTTGAGCTCGGACGCCGTCGGAGGAACAGCCACCGGCGACGTCATAGCGCCGGCGAGGAGCTGAGAAAAAGACTTGCAGTCATCGGAATCGGAGAAGAAGCTCGAGACAAGGGTCATGGGCCCTGGGCTAAACCCGAGTCCCAAACCCGGCCCACCGCTTAAGAGCGACTCCATAGAGGTCCGTGGCGGGAGATTAATAGTGGGCCGCAACGGAAAAGCTTTAGATTTCAACGGCGACGGCACCGACGACGGTGGCAGCTTATCTTCATCGTCACCCATAGAAGCAAATTTCGAAAGGCAACCGAAAATTTCAGGTTCTGGGTTTGGGTGTCGGGATCTGAAACTGAGCTGAAAGAGAAAAACAAAGTCAACGCCGCAATGCACGAAAATGAAAAAGGGTAATTAAATTAATCCAAAGAAGAAATTTCGTAATTCCCTTTTTGTTTCCATGTTCTAAAAATCTCAGAGCTTATACCTCTGATTGGACAACACAAGTACGCCTCCACATTGAGGCCACAAATATGACAAATTTGACCTCAAAAATATCTTCTTTTGTTTTTTTTTTCTTAATTCACCCACAAACACTCTAGGAAGCATATGAACAATGCGATTGGCCTAGTGGATTGGAGGGAGAATCTAATGGCAGGTCTTTGCTAGCCTCTAAGATAGGCAATGAGTCCAGGAGTTGACGAGTATGCACTTCCCACTATCTTATTATCAATACAATATCCCGAGTGGTAGTAAAAATTATGAGTCTTGATTGTGCCTCCTTAGCTCGGTTACCTTGGTAAGTCTCATCAGGGACTAGATTGTATGAGTGATTCACGTTGCCTAGATAGTCAATGTGGACTACGTGCCTATAGATTCTTAATTATTCCCCGTAAAATCATAAAATCCTATGTTATCAAATCTCTATAATTGCATAAAATTTCATGAATATATCAAAGATTATTTATAATAATTCAAATTATCAGCTATTCCAAAAGTAATTAAATTATAATTTTTATTTTATTTATTTATTATTATAATTTTTCAGCGGGTGAGATGCAGTTGGGCACAACGCAACACGACAGCCAGGATTAAGCTGTGGATTACCTTTAAAAATATCAACCACCACCACCCACTCGCAGGACTGAGGGTGAAATTGTAATTTTTATGAGAGGAGAAGGACAAAATCGGAATAGATACAAGATATGGGACATAGTGGTTCTTATATGGCCAGCTGGCACCAAATCAATGGATGCGGTGGTGAAGTCGAATTAACGTTCCTTTGATTTTGAAGGAAGAGGCTAACGTCGTAGGGACCACGGGGATGGAAAAAAATGCAACAAAATGCCAAGTCATTTTCCTATTTATTTAACCACTTTCATTCTCCAGTTCTTTAAAAATAAAAAATAAATTGTTTTTCCAGTTCATACGCCATATATGAACACGTAACTATTAATTTAATTAAAATTCATCACAAAACGAAACATTTAGAACTTACAAAATAAAATAATAATTCAACTATGGCATATAATATCATTAATATTCTTAATAAAAATACGATTGATACCATATTTTAAAAATACTCGCATTCCATAATTTAAGAGTTCTATAGAACACTTTTAAAATTAAAAGTATTTTTAAGACGGTACAAAGTTTACCTGTATGGCCCTGGCTTCCTTTCATTTTCCTTTTTATCGGTACGCATACTCAGCGTCCTACACAGCAAATATACAAACACAGTGTGCATCTAATTGAAGTCCCCAAAAGAAAACATAAAATCAAGCTTCAAAAGACCAACAAAGAATATCTGTAATGTGACAATAGAACAAAGTAGAAACCCCTAATGGCAAATAAATATTATACTTCATCAGAAACCATGAACCTATCATCCTACAACTCTTAAACAACCATAGCAGCTATGAAGTTTACATAAAGAAGACTAGCCAAGAAACAACTCTTGATTCAAACAGCAACAAGGAGGCCAAAAATTTTGCTGCTTTCTATTCATCAAAAGAATCTATTTTGGGCCAATGTCCTTGAGAGCGCAGATTTGCTCCTCTCCCATTGAAGACATGACAGTCACAATCAGATCCTTCCCCTCCGCAAAGCCATCCTTGATCTGCATGAACACAATAAATCTTCAAAATTATGCCACTCATAGCCTATGGCAGCTATTGTTCTTCCGAATAAGACCCCGACGTGCAAGGAACGGAAAACTTGCAGATGAACATAAAATTATTCATAAAATAACTCCTTAATCAGCCCCCTAGAGGTTAGTACTAAGCACAAGATATCAAATATTAGACACTCCTAGAGGTTAGTACTAAGCACAAGATATCAAATATTAGACGCTCCTAGAGGTTAGTACTAAGCACAAGATATCAATATTAGACACTCATATAATTAGATTTGATCTTTATATAGAAAAGCTCCAAAGGTGATTGGTTTGGAATCATGGGTTCTTCTATCTATCTAATGATATGAAATTCTTGTTAGTTAATCATCGACATTTTAACACATTTTCGCTAGAAATCCAAACCCATAAGCATAATGGG